AGGTGGAGGAGGTGATTAGTCCTGTTGTGGATCATTCACTGGATGGAACGTTTCAGAGATGTAAACTGGATCCATCGTACTCAACGCATTACTACCATGCTGTGTTTGATGTATATGTCCTTCCATCCTTAATCCTCATTCCCCGACCGTGGCTTCAAAATGCGATTAATTCATGTATACAAAATGACTCTGCACTCCTTCCTCCAGAATATAACCAATTTCCCCATGGAGCGCAACGGTATTTGCAGTGTTTTGTTCATCCTATGCCGCCGCCTATACCATCGCCCAAGCCTATTCCCTTCGCATACCCTGACGGTAAAGCCAGCTGGACTGTAGGAAAGACTTTCGGAGAAGTCTTCCTCAAGAGGCTTGACCCATCCGAGTGGACAAAGTCTATGAGGAAGGCAACAATGGACAATGACCAGGGTATTGCGGAATGCATCTGCGTGCAGCACTACATAGAGAATATCGATTATGCAGCATCAGGATCGCTCGGCATATTGCATGAGATGGCCTCAATATTCGATGATACCCATTATCACAACCGTTACAGGCCCGCCGGACCAACATACCCTCCTGGGGCGGTTCGGTTCTTTTCTCTGTACACTTTGACACAGGATGGACATATCCTGCTGAGATTCCATGGTCATCCATTCCGCCGCCCGGAGGATGATGATGGTGTTTCATCCAACCCAGAAGAGTTCCTTAGTGAGAAAGACTGGGATGAAGAGGAGCCTTCTGCGTCAGCCTCAGAAAGGGATAATTCTCCTGTACTATCAACATCATGCACCTCTCGCCTCCGCTCCCAGCACGGTGGAAGGCCTAGGGGGCATTTGCCGCGTCCACAGGTCCCCCCTCAGAGGCCAAGCTCCGTTCACCAGTGGCATCGACGAAGCCGTTCCCCTCACCAGCACTCACCTGCACGAAGAAGAGGATCACCTGGTCTCCCACCAGATTCGTACCATCGCTCTGAGGTGCGAGAGGGTGAGCAGCGTCCATGTCTGGTGTCTTCCAGATCACCTTCGCCCCACGAAGTCTCTCGTCCTTCTTCCCGTTTCACGCACCGTTCAGGATCCGGAACCTTTGCATGCCATTGCCATGGGCCTGAAAAGCCTCCATACGCTCCACCACGCCACCACGCCCCGCCTCCAGCCGTGGAAGGTCGATTCCATGAAGCCCGAATGCCATTGGCCCAAGCTTCCGTTCCCATTCCCCAATACCGACCAGAATTCCAGCCTTCTCGTTCACTTCCCTTGCCATCCTCTGCGGAGCCGCCAGCACCTCTGTATGACCCAGAACGTCGTCACCCTCCCCCATCCATGGAAGACGTTCGGTTCAGTGAAGCCCAAATCCCATCGGCCCATACCCCAGTCCCCATCTTGCAGTACCATCCAGAATCCCTGCCCCATCGTCCACTCCCCCTGCCCTCCTCCTACGATCCACCACCAAGACTAAGGGCACCACCACCAGATATCGCACGCTTCATCTCAGTTGAACAGATCATGGTGCAGGATGGAGGGACAACGTCCTTGCTAAGAGATGCTATGGTTATTTGAGGTATGCATAGTATGTCTAGGAATGTTTTAATTGTTATTCTCACACAGTGTGATGTTTTCGCCAGGTGCGCCTCTTCGACCCGTTCAGCCACTTTCCCCCACCCCGAGGCTGCAGCCCACGTTGAAAATTGGAGAACAGAATTATCCCATAAGCTGATCGCTATCGCCTCATTCCCAGTCTAATACATAAAGGATGTCCTAGGTGGCACCGTGAAGCGCGCTTACCGTCAGATGCTGATTCGTATCATGGCAGTGAACACCCATGCTATGTGCTCCTACGATGGATCGTACGCCTCATGGGTGAACGCCACCCCTTCAACGAGGACAAGTGTCCTTAACACCTCTCAAAGATATCGCGAGTTTGTGTCAGAACCGTGCAAATCTTTGCCGATGGTAGCTGTAGGCAACCGAGCGTTGCCCACTAGTGGTAAAGGCGTCCTACACCCGACCAAGCTTTAGCGAGGGATAGACCCCACCGATCTCGAGGCCGAGGCTACTTAGGCGAGTGAGCCGGGATTTCGGCTTCAATGACTCGAGGAGGAGCGTTGTGCCTCGTTCTCAACACGGTCCCGATACTTCAGAAGGTCGGAGGTCTCACGGGGGACAGAGGTAAGCTTAGGGGGTGAATTCTAGTTGATTTAGAACTACAGTACAAGCATTAGTTACAAGCTGTATATAAGTGCTAAGGGACTGAATAGGGAATAAGTCGCCAGATCTCGCAGAGATTGCGGGCGGAGGAAAGAAGAAGGAAAACAAACAAAGAGCACATGTCCAAGACAGCGAAGGTCGAACATGACCTTCGCCGCAAGATAACAAGGTGCGGCGAAACATGGGACAACAGGTCGTTCAACGACAATTTAGGAGAGATGGCGGGAAGGGCTAGACAGCGACGGGCGGCGAGTGGAGTGTGCAGGGAGTGTTCGGGCATGGGAGAAGGTCAGGGAGGAGGTCGTCTGACCACAGGAACGACGGGTCGTGACAGTAGTGCAAAAGTGGCATCTTAGCACCTGTATAAATACCAGGATCCAAGTTGACTGAGTGGTCAGTCAACGTCAGCCTTTTGGCAAAGAGGCTCCAGTGTGGTCCTGGTCTGGCCTGTCTCTGACAGTTTGTGGACTTTTGTCGGAGACCAGTCAGCTTCGACCCGCTCCACCTGCACCTCCCACTTATCGAATGCCATTCCCCTTTTCATTATATCCCGTTGCCTATTCTTAATATTGACTTGCAACGTTCCCCTGACGGTTTGAATTGGCTCCCAACGTCTGAGTGGAGGGAGCGGATTATAGGCACGAACTCGTTGCTGAAACAACTTCTTCGCCACGTTCGGACTACCGTTTCTCATCTCTGCCGCACAGAAATCCTCCCTTCACATCGTGAAACTATGGCGATACTCAAGCATGAATCAGATGTCTACCTTGAGAAGCTGCTTCAATCCCGGATGATTGCAGAGTCCGAGAACTATCACCATGAAACGGTTGGTGAGATCGAACGTCGGATTGGAGAGCTACGAGGCTATCTTCGTTATTGCCTCCTCGTTTCCCTCGATGCATGCGCCATACTGGGTGGTATGGAACTTCCGACGTGGCCAATTCAAAAATTAGCCATTGGGACCATCTTCGACGGCTCAGACGGCACTCACACCGAGGTCCACGACTCCACCCTCAGTGCTTCTGCTCAGGCTTTTGCCCTCACTCTGGAACGGTGGGGAGTTCCTCATTGGAGGGTGGAATATGGTGAAAAATGCTTTGCAGTCTGTCGATCATGTTCACCGTTGCATGATCATGCAGCAGAACATGCCCTTCAACAGGAGATACGGAGCCGTGCTCAGGCCAAGGCTTCGAACGGCATCATGAAGGGGGATATCACTGTGGGATTCGACTTTGTTGTTACGGAAACCGTTACATGTTCCCGCCCACAGCAATTCCTGCTTGCAGCTCCACAAGATGATCCCCCTACTCAGCGCTTTGCCATGGAACAATGTCTGAAAGCGCTTGCCCCTGAGGGGGATCCTACTCCGTTCAAAAACCTCTCTACCTTAATGAAGGGTGTGCTTCAAGGAGTCTGGCTGGATTTAAAATACGAGGAGGGCCTGCATTTGAGCACGGCCTTGGAAGGGGCCAAATGGAAGAAAATGAGAGTACCATTCCCCATCGGTGCGCATGCTCCACTGATGGCGGCGTTTATCAAAATCCCTTTCTCGTACTACCAACCTCAACATCCCCTTCCGTTGTCGAATCAGTCCGTACCCTTTACTGGCACGTCCAGTGCTATTTTGTTGTCCAAGGCCGGCTCTGTACTGCCACTGACACATGGCTAGGCATATCCATACGCCTGTCAGGCCCTACGCTGGAGCTACGTCATGACTTGGAAGCGGTCAAGCAGCGGGGCGTTCTTGCCTACCGAGAAGTGCGTGACTGCACGGTGAATCAGAAAGTGGACAGGTGGGACGGTTCGATGCACTGTCTTAACCTACTCTGCAAGACACAGGAGGAAGCCAAAGCCTTAAGCGGTACCTCCAAGCAAGATTTCCTGACGCCCTTCTCAGAGATATCAATATGCAGGATTATACCCCAAGCGGGTACATTGGCGTCTATGAGCTTGGATATACTGGTGAAGTCTTTTCTCATGGATTTGACAAAACTACAATCAAAACCCTACTGGATCACGCACCAGCCCCGCTCATCCCTCAGGGCCCCGACACATTACCATCCGAAGCAACAGAGCTATGGACGCGCATGTATTCACAGGATCTCTTCGAATACAATCGCTTCCGGATTATGACAACGACAACCAGCCGAGGGCGTATGCCGTTCAATATGGTGGAGGTGACCTTCAAATGCGAAGTGTTAAAAAAAATATGCCTGCGTAGGCCATTCGAGTTAAGCGAAAAAGAGTACTTTGGCCTCCTTCATTTTTGTCTCATTCTCTGTCGCCTTCACCGCTTCAAACGCGCATTCCGCCAGCGGATCTACCCTGCCGAAGACTCTATTTACCCTCGTGTTGTCCGTTTCATTGCCGATTCTGGGAGGCAGCTTTTCGAGGGCATCGAATTCCGATCAACCGAGATGTTGAAGAGATCAGGAAAACCCGCCTCAAGAAGAGTTTGAGTCCATTCGCTCATGTCTGACAGCCAAAAACTGGTCTTTTTGCGCTCAAAGTTGCAGAGAGCCCTCCTGCTCCCCCAAACAAGCCGACTCCAGAAGAGTTAAGCGGCAAGTAGTAGTCGGAGAGCATCACGCAATAGCTGTCTGTGACCGTTTTCCGTTCACTTTGTATATACTCTAGAATAATTTGTAGCATATAACTTCCCGATGTATTTTACGTTTGCTGAGCTTACGCCTTGCACTTGTGCCCAGCCCATAGGTTTAATAATGACGCGTGCAATATTTTCATTTTAAGATACCTACGTATCCTTCCAATGATCGGTTGTGATGTTTGGGTCACTCAACTGGGCAACATCTGTATCCACGTAGCTATCACATCCTCGTCGTCGTTCACTTCCAACTCGTCAAGCAGTTGGACCACCCTCCTGGCAACCTTTCCTACATCAGCCCCCCTGTCACGAAGCTCGTTTCCAACGGCGCTAATCATTCTCCAGTGTTGAGTGACATCTAAGACTTCAGGAGGTGGCTCCTTCTCGGTAACGTGCAGGGCAATGATGTCGATGTTGACTAGGAGTTCAACGTTTTCTTCCATTAGCGCCTTCAAACGAACCGCCGGCAACATTTTCGATGCAGCCCGCCACACTGAGTTTCGTGCACACCTGAACAAGGTGTCAAAGGTGGGAGGCTCACCGCTTAGGCTTGATACGGATGACGGTGCCTCCGACGGTGCCCGGGACGTTGGACCTTCGTTCACAGTGAGGTGCGTACTTCCATTAATCTTCAACACTGGTTGAACTTTGAGGGGAGTACTATGCGGTGTTGGATGGATGAGCCTAATTGGAGGGATGACCATTGGCGTATGTGATTCCGGAACGGCTTGCTCCATGAAGACGTCGTTTTCTGGGTCATCAGGGAGTTGCGGTCCACGCCCTTGCCGGAAGCCTGAGCGTACACCCGATGGGAACGTTGTCAGGTTTATTGCCTCTAACTTTACTGATGATGATGAAGACCCGCCCGGTTCAGGTGAGTTGCGAGGTGGTGTCTCGGGTACGATGCCATCGTCCTGTGGACCTTTCACCTCGTTCTCTGGTACCGCGGCTTCTTTCATTTGGTTGTGGCCCCCAGGTGTCACACGGGAGGTTTTGCCTTCGTGAGGGTGCGTGCGCGAGTGGCTTTGGACTTCTTGCGTCGCTTGGAAGACGGGGATGATATTTGATTATCACCAACCGAATCTCCTTCCATCTCCACAGTTGGGGAGTTTGGCGTGCTGTCCTTACGTTTTTGGGTTCGTGCGGGGACGACCGCTGTCCTCGCAATTGCCCTCCTTGTCTCGTGTTCAGGCAATAGGTATTTCGTAATATTCCCTTTCGCATCTGGTGCATAGTGTAGCACCTCACGCGTCAGGTACTCGTCTGGTAAGCCCAAACCGGTGAGCTGTGTTTTTTTGAAGTTTCATTGACATTTTCCTCACCATCTGTCATTTGTTCCACCCTCAACGTCTGCTCCGGATCCTGGTGAGTGAGCTGCATTATACACCGTGCAGACTCGCGTGGGGTCCAATCGCACGGTAGTGACTTGTTCAAGCGTGGGACACCACGATGCCAACCAACAAAACGGAGACGATGCTCAAGCATGAATGAAAGTATGTTGGCGACTCTCCAGTTGTGCCCAAGCTCAGTTATCCCTGTTGCCTCCACTACAAGTAGATGTCAGATGAGCAATCAGACGGCACGGCAAAAGGACATACGAATGATTGCTTTAAGCCGCCCAGCACACTCAGTGCGGCGTTGGGGATGCGAGCCGTAGGTCTCGTCTGCAAAGGCGAGGCCTTCCTTCCTTTTTAATGCGGGTGTGTGGTAATCCACGTTGTTCGCATCGCCCTCAACCTCTGATTTGATGGCCGTGTTTCCCGTTCCATTTCCCAAATACCTGTCCAGATCATCGCTGAAATGGACACTTTGCTTCATGTGCATCACGACGGTCTTCATGAGGCTTGAGGCACCAAACACCTCGCTGGTAGATTTATCGGGGTTTCGTAAACGCCCCAAGATGTTGAAGAAAGGTTCTGCGCCTATTTCAGCCAAGGATCGCTATTTTCAGGCCAATGCGGGCTAGGAGGAGCACAAAATTGCTCATACCATCACCTCTGTTTTTAATGGCGTCGGGTTGGGTTGATATGGGCTGGAAGGATATGAGTAAGTTATTTGTGCCTTTCCTGCATAAACCTTGTACCTGAATGCCTTTATCCCGTCGTAGAAGTTCCTCATGGCTAAGGCACTATCCTCTGTGAGGGGTAGGCCCATAGCTTTGACCATTTCCGCAATCATTGGTGAGCTCGTAAATGCGATAGTCGAATCCTGAGGGGCAAGCTTGTCATCTGCTATGAACCCCACTAACGCCACCCCAACAGGATGAATGGAGCTGAGTGCAGCGAGCTATCAGCAAATTTTTCAGTACAATCGATTGCGATAGTTACTGGATTCTGTACTATACCTGAGCAGCATATTTTCCCGTTATTTTCTGCAACAGATAAAGGCCTTCATTTGGTTGAGCCTCCCTCTCGTCCTTCGATAAAACAAGGTCCCCGCAATGTATCAGAATTTTATCATAGAACGCTTTTGCTTCTTCTGCCTGGTCAGGGTACTTCCTATCGATATCCTGTTGCTGTAATTTACGCAGGCATGCTGCTTCTTGACTGTCAATTCCAGCTAGGAAATGATTAGTTCCTAATATCTTGCGAGTATGTGGTTAACTTACGGTGAAGCTTAAGCCATGTTTGCCAAGCCGTTTGGCCCGCTTCAGTGGGATTGTGTAAACGGAACCTCTTCATGACTTCTTGGGGGGACTTCCCCTTTTTCTGTGCGTAACCGGCAATGCAAGCTTCTAAAAAAACTGCAGGGGGTCCTTGAGTATTTCTAAACGGTGTAAGCAACAAAGACACCAACGCACCTTCGAGGCTCAAATCATCCGTAACGAGTCCCTTCTCCAGTATATCGCCAATATCTCCGACTGTCTCAATAGATGAATGACCCCATATTTTCTGCACAATCCCCTTCACAATTTGATCGGGGGGACAAGTGGTTGGAATTGTGGCCTGTCTTCGATGGAAGTATGTTGTGCAATAAGCTCTTTCAACTCTGCGAACGGGCCATCTGTAGCTCTGAGGAAGTTGTTGGCAGTGGAAGCCGTAGTCAACAAGGTCATGCCACTGGAGAAAGTGGCCTGAAGGGTCAGAATTGATGAGTCAAATGCATTTGAAGATGCGTTCTGCGGGAGGGAAGGCATTCTGGGGTGATTTCTTGTTCTACCAGTGATTTTTGGTTTGGGGGGAACGGAAAATTTTCCTCAAATTTGCATCCGAACTATCAATTTTGATCTAGCAACAAGCCTGAAGAGAGGAATTTGTATCTACGCCGTTTCACCAGCCTTTACCCCGTTCGACCCATGGTCTACATTGCAACCTTGTATCAGGTAGCAGACACAGAATTCAAATGGAAAATTGGACATTCAGACCCTTTCCTCAATGTTGCACATCTACACCCATCTGCAACCAACTACAGGCCGATTTCCCCTTTAGCACCCCGTTTGACTTGTTCGCCGGTCCAACACAGTGTGCAAGAGCTCTAAGTGGCGCTCCGGAACATCGAGCAGGCCGCGATCGGAGCCGCTATTTGTATTGTAAGTACGGTCAGGGTTTCAATGTAAATAATCGGCATGTGAACGAAATGTCCCTGGATCTGAATCGTGTGTGTCGGCAGAGACAGTGGGGCCCAGGCCGCTTCCCTCAATAACCCAAACGGTGTAATCTGCGCAAGGTCTACGGAGGTCAGGTGTAGTGGGTGGTGGCAGTGCCACCCCCGTTTGACCACATTCATACCCCATCACTCCTATATCACGCGACCATATGCATTCCCCCCAAACGGGACATAGCCACCTGATCCAAAGCATCAAGAGGCACGCTCCACGCGTCTGCGTGCCCTTGGCGCCCTAATCGGGCAGCCTCCACGTGCACGTTAAATATCCACACAAAAGAATTCCCGAAGTCCGCTCAAGCCCCTTGAATCTTGTTCGAGCTGGGTGGGACATCGGCAGTCTAGTGATACTAAAAGCTTCGAGTTGTTTATATTCATTCTAAAATGTGAAGTTGGATGTCACACTCGTCCACGCGTCTCACAGTTTGGAGAACGCGATACCCAACATCTCGAATGTTTTGCTCAGGACTTAGAATACGGTTACAGCCCGGTCCCGTCTTACCATAATATTCACCTGAACCCGTCCATACTTTGGACTGTTAAGGTTGGACCAATCGTGAGTGATTGTGCCCTTCCCTTCCCGTGAGAAGGAAGATGCAAATTCTCTCCTGTCTTAGGCGCCACGGACTCAGAGTGCACATGAGATTTGTGCGTCTGATGATGAGCACATGCCTTCGAATTATATAGTGTACCATCACGTCGCCATCGCCACAACTACCTACACTTGTGCTAGTATCGATCAGGGCTTCATGACTAGATCTCTGGGTACTCGATCGACTCAATCATATCGGGGACTAAGGATCGGAGGATTGAGTGCTGGCTCTCCGTAGGTAGCTCACGATTCTCCAACATCACAATGTGGCCCACGCATGATCTGTCAGGTGAAGGGATCGTCCCATCTCAGCCTCCACTCTCCGAGTGAGTACCCATGGGACGTCGCCTTCCATTCGAGTTCACCACCGTCCATCCCGCATAGCTTTACCCGCCAGAACTAGCATACACTTTCCCCCACTGAGTCTCATCCTCTCTTCTCTTCTTACCATCACTTCCATCTCCGACCCAATGTGTCGTTGTTCGATTTGGCACACAATCCTCAAGCCGTTGGGCTGATAGCACCGCATTCCCCTACAACCACGCAACTTTGGCCAACATCCGGCCCCAACGCTGCACTCATACGAGGCTGGAAACCACTTGTCCTCATTTGAAACGTCTCTGCTGTACTGGCCGACTCGGAGCGACTAGCTTGGCATTGCCCTCCCCGTTATTGTACTCAATTCAGGACACTTTTTTTTTTTTCAAAATACTGCCATGGGGTTCTTACACTGCATGTATAAAGGGGGTTTGGCCTTTGCTGCGGCCGCTCGCTGTGGGCTCATCTCAGTGAGCGAGATCGAACGAAACCGGTTGACTCAGACTGACGCAATGTCCAAGTTATTGCCGCTGCTGCCTTTGCCAAGCGCCATTCACTATTACGCCAGTTTGCTGTTAAGCCGGCGCTTTAGCCCTTGTGTCGCCCCTTCGCGTACGTCCCGCTTAACCTTCACGATTCTTTGATCTGATTCGTGTTTCGTCGATGGTTGCTTACCTGCTCTTTGCCTGACTCTTTGATTGCTTCGTTGCTAATTGATTCACTTTGCTCTATGTTGACTACTCCGCTTATCTCATCGATGTCACTCTCTCCTTGACTCCTGTCTGCTCACCTCATTGTCAATTCAGTTGCTATTTCATGTTGGCTGCTCCGCTACGTATTCCGTATCTTCTATTGTCGCCTGCTCCTCTGCGTACTCCATGTTCTTCGTTTGCCTCCCTGTCGACTGATTTTCTATGTATGCGTATCACGCATCACTAGCACCACCATGGCCGTTTTCCGCTAGAAACCTACATTCCCCCTTATTTAAAATAGGATATCCTGCCCTAACCGATGCGGAGGAGATCCATGTAGGAACTCGCATGGGTTATTTCTTGGGTGATCTTAGTTGCTAAGATAATCCTCTTGGCAAGCTTTTGACTTGACTGATTCGGTTTCGTTCATTGTCGTTTGAGGTCACTTGGGCGTGTACGTATGACCTACTTAGGCACCCAATACTTATAAGGTCAAATTCCGTTGTATGTTCTTATCAAGATGTGGGTACACATTCGAGACAAGATTTGCTAACCGAGGGGGAAACTAGGTTTCTAGCGGAAAACGGCCATTGTGATGCTAGCAATGCGTGACCCGCATACATGGAAAACCAGTCGACAGCGAGGCAAACAGAGTGCATGAAGAGCAGGCGGCAATAGGGGGGAAATAGAGAATATACGAGCAGCCAAATAACTGAAGCAGTTAGCAACGAGGTAAGCAGACAGGAATCAAGGAGAGAGCGAGCAAGCGGTCATTGGTGATGCAAGTGGAGCAGTCAACGTAGAATCAACGAAGCAAACAAAGAGACAGGGAAGCAACCATCAACAAAACACGAATCAGATCAAAGAAGGGGTGGAGCGTCGTGAAGATTAAGGGGGAGGAAAAGGGGCGACACAGCGGCCAAGAGCGCCGGCTTGACAGTGAACTGGTGTGATAGCAAATGGCGTTTGGCAAGGGCAGCAAGCGGCAATAACTTGAACGTTGCGTCAGTCTGAGTCAATAGATTTTGCTCACTGAGACGAGCTAACAGGGAGCGGCCGCAGCAAAGGTGAAGAGATGAAAGGCCAAAACCCTTTCTCACACTCACACTTGTATTATAAACAGTGTAAGAACCCCATAGCAGTAGTTTGAAACAAAAGTGTCCTTAATAACCGGGAGGGCGATGCCAAGCTAGTCGCTCCGAGTCATCGATCTGATTGCCAGCGCTCCTCGTATGAATGAAGGGTTCAGGTCGGATGTTGGCCAAAGTTGCGTGGTTGTAGGGGAATGTGGTGCCGAGCGATCGGCCCCAAAGGCTTGAGAATTGAGGGGGCTAAGCTGGTTCTGGTGGGTAAAACTACACGGGATGGACGGTCGTGAACTCGGGTGGAAGGTGACGTCAAATTGACTTGGGCTGCGGGTCTCACTCGAAGAGTGAAGCTTGAGATGAGACGATCTCTTCGAATTATTTCGCGTGACAGATCATGCGTAGGCAATAGTTGAAGATCAATAGTTGAAGATCAATCGTGAGCGACATGCAAACTCTTGAATTAGGAAAGTCGATACAGATAATAGTAAATATAGGCTTCGAAGTTGTTCCTCCAACACTGAGGAGAGCTAGCACTCGCAATCCTCTGGTCCCTCCGATGTGATCCCCGACGAGTATGGGTCGATCGAGTACTTCTATATATTGTTTGTTTGTCATAGAGGCTGGAGTCCTGCCTAATCCAGTGGCGTCTAAGACAGGAGAGAATTTGCATCTTCCTTCGCACGGGAGGGGAAGTCCGATTCACGGTGGGAGGAAATATAATCGGACGCCCCGGATGCCGGACCGCGGCACGAGGCGTAAGCGCGCGCATACGAGCTTTCAATATTGTTGCCTTTTGGGTTTGCCTCTCGCGTTTTCCTGTGGATGGGCCACATGGAAAAAACGTGGATCCGACACATGTGGGCGGCCAATGTGATTATATTTGGGCACGCGGCCTGTCCAACTTCCTCTCGCTGGACATCTCGATTACAACTTCATCAACCGAGCTCTTTCCTTCCGAGAAGCTCTCATAGCTGGGTGCTCTAGCAGTAGCAGTCTGCAAGGAGCCTACTCTCAACACACACCTTGGTGCGCCTGTACATCCAGGCACAGTCATTTTCCCACCTAGTCAATTACGCCATGGATTCCGCTTCGTCAGTCGTGATGGCAGCCCTATCCACAATCCGGGATGTTCAGAATCTTAGTCACCAGTTTGGTACCAAGATTCTGATTGCACGAGGCGGCTACTCCGAGGTCTATCGTGCCGAATGGTTCCAATCTGGCGCCCAAGCTCCAGCAAATGTATGTTCTCTTGAACTGACATGTTGACTGTTTCGTTTCAATTCTTCCATTGAGGTCTGCTACAAAGTTCTCAAACCACCCATCAGCAACATGCCGTCTGTCGTAGAGGAAATAAGAAAATCCATGAAAGTGAGGCCCTTTCCCTAGCTAGATTGATAGCAATGAAGGCTCATGTACTGCTCCAGCATCTGAAGAGAGAGATGAGGGCATGGAAGGACTTAGACCATGAAAATATCGTGAAATTCATCGGGTTTGCGATTGAAGTTCGCGGTGCAGTACCGGAAGCGGCGTTGGTGTCCGAATGGTGCTCAAACAAGAATCTTGTTGAATATCTGGATGAAAAACCGACCTGCCGTCGGCTTCCCCTGGTGAGTGGTATCAGCGATAACACTGGTCTTTTGGACTGAAGATGCATATGACCGAATAGCTTCTCGATGTCGCTCGTGGTCTGGCCTACCTCCACGAACGTAAACCTGTTGTAGTCCACGGCGATCTGAAGCCTGTAGGTCAACATGTACTGTCCACGAAGTCGATTTAAAGTAATTGATACCATTTAGCTTAACGTATTAATCAGCGAGGCTGGGCGTGCCAAGTTGTGTGACTTCGGGCTATCTTTGATTGCGGACGGATTGACGACAGGGTATACATCGTCGGGGCCTGCATTCACGTTGCGCTATTGTGCCCCGGAACTTGTAGAGAGTGGTGACAAGACGACGTCTGGTGATATTTACTCCTTTGCCTGCATTTGCACCACGGTGAGCCGTTGTGCTTCTCCAACATATGCATTTGACTGAGATTTGAGCAGATACTCTTTAATCAAGGCCCGTTCCCTTCGCTTAAGTATGATGCTCAACTGTTGGATGCGTTAAAATCCGGTCGACCGCCTTGGGACTGGAAGCAATCTTCAGTGGAGAAAATACTATCCAATTGCTGTGCCGTTTCTCCTGATGCACGACCGACGATGGGGGAGGCTTTTGGATCGCTTGTGGATACGTGTGCCGAGTTAGACTCATCTTCGAGCTTCGAGATATCAGACCTTAAACCAAAGCTGCTGCCGCCAGTGGGGTTCGCCGATGGCTCGGCGGATTCGTCTTTTGTACTGAGTGGAGATCGTACGGATCCGAAACCCGCAACGTTGTTCAAGAACGCGGCCATTGAGGTTGTTGGACAAGTAGCTCCTGTTTCTACTTCTCCAGACCTTCAAAATGGGATTTCTGGCGAGAAACAGAATCTACATAATGCTCTTTCTAATCTCGGACGGCACTCAGAGGCTCTCCCATCCATTGAAGAAAGTGTCAAACTCTACCGCCAGTTAGTTGCTGTTGACCCAAGATCATACACCCTGAATTTGGCCGGGTCACTCAACAATCTATATGTGGCTCTTTTGGATCTTGGACGGCACTCGGAGGCGCTCCCATTCATTGAAGAAAGCGTCCAACTCTACCGCCATTTAGTTGCCATTGACCCAGGATTATACATACCGGATTTGGCCATGTCACTCACCAATTTACATAATACTCTTTCCATTCTCGACGGCCGCCCCCATTCATCAACATTGGTCAATTCAGTCGAGAATCTACGTAATGTTATTTCCAATCTCGGACGTTATTCCGAGGCACAAGTGGTTCCCATTTGAGCGTGTTCCCCTCATCATTGCGCTTCCCACTTTGCCACTACACATGCCAGGCAAGATTGAACTGGATCTTCAGCTCGAGAACGCCGACAAACCTAAACTCAATTTTTGATTGCAAGCTATTAATGCCATATTCTCAAAGTTCACTGGCCACACCAAACCCATGACAAATCACAGTCACATCCTACAATTTCAATTGCAAATTCTTTCTCTAACACATTTTTACTCCCATCGCCCATCACTGATGTACTGGTTTATGCGTGTTTCTGCATACCGCATAATCGATGATGTGGAGGTTCTGGTGGAAAAACGTAAGCGGTACAACAAGCTGATTATCTTGCCAAGAGGTAACATGTGCCTGTCGAATCATCGCCATTGTGTTCGAATGGAGCGTGAAGTCTGGTGAGTTATGGTGACGTCAATGGTGGCTGGCTGGAGTGTGTCGGATTTGACTCGGCAAACTCGGCGCATTCCCATTCCCATTCCCCACGTCCCCACAGCCCCTTCAAACCACCTACGCATCACCACCAACTCCAATATATCAATCCTCTCCTTCAAAGGCCCACCTGTTTCTTCCCAACCTCTCCTCTTCCTATCCTTCGGAAAGCTAGACTCTATCGTCCGATCCTTCCACCGAAGCAATCATTGATGAACGAATCGCCCCCCCAACCCATTTCCCTCTAATTTCCCCTCATCGTCTCCCTCTGTGCCGTCGTCCACGCTCCATTCCAATTCGTCTGGTCTTTCGTCTGCGGGCTCTACTTCCATAGATGGTAGTAGTGGCGGACTGATGCAAATAATAGGTTGTTAGCAGGAATGGGAGAAGGTGCAGGTGCCTAATGTGTTGATGGCGAGGGCCAAGACGACGGGATTATGGGAGGCAAAGTTTAGTATGATCCGCCTTTGGCATTGCGTGTGTTACATAATGATTTACCCCCTTCCATTCCTCACCTCCTTCGCCACTTCAGCATATTCAACGTGGACGATCAATGCCCTAAGCGTGAAAAAAGCGGATTACTGTTCTGAATCTGTCACTTTTGCGTGGCATTATCGGATCAAGATCACCCCTTGACGGAGAATCCTACTCAGAATCAGATGGAGTCCCTTGTGCTGCTCGATTTCGTGGTGAATCCGAGCTGGTTCTTTTCGACGAGTATCATCCTTTTTCTGAGTAAGGGTGCAGTGTTTATGGAGAAGATTGTGGGGAAGGCTGTAGCAGAGGGTGGCGGGGATGCGGGTGGTGCGAGAAGGCAGAGTGGGAGTGTGGAGGGTAGGATGGTCGGTGAGGATGCGGAGTGTGAGGGGTTTGAGGGAGCCGTTAGAGTAAAGCAGTACTACGGGTGGGAGGAATATGAACAAGGCAGCCAAGTTTATTTTGTGGAAGTTTTCGCAGGCGAGGCTGAGTTTTATCCTCACTAAATTTTTGTTCGGTCTTGTATGCATGTAGGGTGATTTTGGTTGGTCTTCTAGCGTGACCCAGGCCGCTGATACGACAAATGTTAATTTGTTCTTATATATTATCATTTGTTTGGTATGCTGTCGCAGATGATACTACAAAATGGGCTTGAAGATGCCGGGATTATGTAAATGTAATGGACTCGACTTGGCTCGGTTCTTCCTTCCAGGTCTCACAATAATATCACCTCCCTCTGCAAACCCCGCTTTCAATTTCAGGTCCAAGACCCAAGGGACGACCTGGGTGATGGATTGAAGCTCGTCCACTTTTAGTTTTTCCCGCCCGTTGAAATTTCCTTTTTCATGACAGGCGGGATGGTTGCTCGCATGGAACCCCCATCCTTAGTTGCCAGGTACAGGCAACAAAATATGCAAGAATTCTTTTCTTGCGAATAGCCGAATTCCGCCACTTATTGTCATGGTGTTCGACCTGATTTGGATATTAGCCTGGTGGTGAGTGATATGACAAAATTGCCAATTGGTTCGTCCCCAACCCCAAGCGCATCGCCGGTGCGCGAACTGCTCCTCTCGTTCAAGTTCGATAAAGGCGCGACTTCTGTGCAGTTAGGTCTCTCACATCATCCCCCGGCACGGTAGAATCTCAGGAGATTAAAGCCCTCAGACGAGATCCATAAAACTTCAACAAAAGGTTGGAGCTGAGAAAGTCATCTAAATCGTAGACTGCTTCACTGGAGACACTGCGAATCCCCCGCTTCCAAAGGACAACTCAGCCTACTCCCAGCGACGATCGATTATTGTTTTGCGATCTTTACCTTGTAATCTGCATCCAACATACGCCACGCTCATGCCCACGTTGACTTGTAGCTTTGGATGTACTTGTGGGGCGAAGCGGAAAGCATAGGACTGTGCATGTGCCGCATTCGGGAATCACATACACCATTCGTAGGAGGTCGACCAGCCTGAGCACTGTAGGCTGGGCCACAAGGAATCTGTAAACATGGGGTCAGCTGGCTTTGTCGGCTAGCAAAGATGACGTTGTTTGAGCAGCCCATGTACTTGAGTAGCAAGACATTTGAAAAGCGTCACACTGGCAACAAGCACGTATTCGCGTCCCTCAAGTCGCCCGCTGCAGGCGCAATGGGCAGAGTGAAGAACAAGACCACGGAGGCTGATATATCCACAGAGCCTACAGGGAAGAAGCACTGTCCAAAGGAATAATCATTTGGATTTAGCGCGGCATTCAACAACAGATATATGTTAAGTACGCGCCATGGGTCGGAGCACGTAAAATTCGCACGGAGTTGGCCGAATTCACAGATCGAGCGACCCGTTCGCAGAGTTTTCTTCAGAATTGAGCTCAACCTGGACTCGCTCTGCACAGGTCTTGTTCTGCACCGAGCGAGCAGTGCTCAATATGCATGCACTTTGTATGGAGTTACATATTTACTCATGCTCGACGAGCTCAATCAACGGGTTATTTAACCACTGGCCGAATTTTCATGCTTCGGGTTACGACCAGCGTGACTCTCGCGATCTAATTCGCATGCTCTAACGGTGTCTGCCTTACAGCTCACACTGTTGGTCTTATGATGTAGGACTTTCGTATAAGGCAATCCGCTACCTAAGCAGCCGCACTCGCGCGAACTTTAGTAGAAGCTGGGATCCTGCCTAGGCGCAAAGCGCCCTTTCTTTCTTCTTAAGGGGCTCGCGGATAGAGGAGTACGACGCACATCTTATTGATGTCGTATTCAGAGTCAGGTTTCACCAACAACAGCACCTGCCTACCTCATGCATGGTGTAGCGATCATTATTCGCACAACAGAAGAATTCCACGAGCTCGAGACCTGCTCCGGCATACACCTTACAGCACTAGGTGTGCCTAATGGGCATTATCTAAACAGCGGTCAAGATAAATCAGAAGGGTCTGTGGAGTCAATGTCCAATTGCGTTCCAGCATTAGTAGCATCAGTCAGGAATCTCGATCTTGAGATGTTCTTACATGTATCATTTAGCGTACAAGATCAGATCATTGGTTGAGTGTGAGGGGGGAGATCTAGATGGGACTGGGTGTGATCTGCGCTCATCAACACAAGTACTTCATGTCGTGCTGAGTGAATTGGTGTTCGATACCCTGGAAGAAGTCGTAGTACGCATAGTAGAGCCCGATCCACTCGAGCTCATTATGTGACGGATTCTGTGGTCGGGTTAGGTTAGAGCCGTGTTCATTTGCAGTTTATCGACAGCAGCCAAACTCGATGCATACCTTCACACTGAACGCTTGCCAACTCTCAACATTCGCATGCACGCTTAACGGACCCCCCCTGGTCATGACCCATTGTATCGCCGCAGTCCATTCATCTTGCGAGAAAGTCAGTTGTGACTGGGAGCGACCCTCCGTGTCTGACCTATTATTGCTTGTCGAAAGTTGGTTCTTTTGTACACAATCATCTGGCATGTCACCCTCGTGGGATGGGGATTTCCTTCCGCATTGGGTCCTTTCTGGAGTTTCTCGGTCTTCTTCATTGTCACCTACACTTCCTTCATGATTCGTGGGACCGAGAGTCTTAATTTCAGGATGTCTACGGGCATGTGAGGCATAAGATACTGGGCTCCTAGAGGGATGCTATAAAAGAGTTCATGTTGGTGAGTGACTGCAACACTTTTTGGACACCTAAGCATGAATCCAATTTATTCACCAGTTGCGAGAACAGATTCCACACCTGGAACTCAGACCGACACTTCGTTCGCATCTTTGCATAGAATGCTTGCATTTGCCGTCGTTCATGGAGTGCGAAAGGTATTTTATCTATGTTGCGCATGCTACGGGCCACAGGGCCCCCGGAAGGAAGCATTCGATTGGTGGGGTGGTCCTCGTCAACTTTCGAGTTGGGGCCAACAGAGGGCGTTCGAGGACTTGGGTGACGCTTGTTCTGGGTGTGGCTTGGAGCTGGTGCCGTCACCTCGATTCTCGCTGGATGTTTCTTATGTTTCGCAAGGTAGAGGCTTACTGCCCTGGAAAAATAGTCGCCGAATTTCTGGTGGTAATTCCAGTAGGTGAATAGCGACTTGTCGGGGTTCTGCACAGAAATAGAATCCAACCTGCTCCTAACCTCAAAGTACAACATACATACCTTTTCATGAAAGATTCTCCACAACGTGTATGGGCGGAGTCCAGGGTTCAGTGCGATGTGCGACACCATCTCGTCCCGTAATTTCTCGGACCAACCCCTGGGAAATTTGCTGACTCTCTGTTTCGTCGTAGTGGGAGGTTCATCTGACTTCCTCTCTGACGGTGTACGCAAGGAGTAGGGATTACGGATCCCATCCACGGTCTTTTGAAGTGGCTTCTCACTAATGAATTTTTTCCAATAATCCTCTGAACGATGCTTCCGCTTATAACAGACAGTGAGGAATATCAGAAATTCGGGAAGTAGCGAAACAACACAAACACAAATCACACCTACTTTATTTGCGCACCAACGGTAGAAGCTTTCCAAGGTGGCTCTGGGCGAGTCAGAGAAGAAGTCTTTCGCTGCTTGAACCACCCAGTCACTGTCCTCGTTGGAAGAGCGATCGGGATCCGAGTCGTTGTCGTCACCTCCGTCAACCTCCATGACGGTTCCTGCTCTGAGTTCGTTTTCAGGCGAGCTTTCTATTCCCGATGCACCCTCCTCGGTATCGGGTCGATGGTATACCACTAAATAATCCTCAAAGTCTTGAATCTTACACGCATCAATTGAGTCCTGAACCCATTGCGGCATCACTCCTATTGTGCGGAGAGGATGTTCGCGTAGTTCTTTATTGTCGCAGAACTCGTCATCTGTGATGGCCAAGTACGCAGGGCGAATGCTATCCACTACTTTTCCACCATGGCGCTAAGTGAATGGATGACCGATCAGGAGGGATGAATGAGTATAAGGCAAATCCGATCATAGAGATCTGTCTAATGGAAAATACCTCGATTCGATCAGTGATTTCTGGCCTTCCAGGGAGGCTTGGATGAACCCAGAATCTTAAGCCTCCCTCCTCATCCATAAATACCAAATTCGGGTGGCGTGGCTTACGCGAATCGGTGTCCATGTCTCAAGCCAAAAGGCTGTCAAGGAAAGTACATCGATCGATCCGCGGATACTTACGAGGGCCGCTGTCTCCAGCCATATCGAAAAGCAGGGAAATGGATGGCTCGATTGGCGCGGACGAATCTCGGAGCGGAAATTTGAATTGCTGTCGGGTCTGATCGGGCACTCGAGTCAAATTCCCATGATTGACGTCTCAAAAGGGGCGTTACTAATGACTCTGGTAGTTTCACTACTGAGTTCATGCTGCAAAACGGGTGGCGCTTATTGATTTGCTCGTGCCTGCTCGACTCCACTTGTACGTACGTGATGTTGTCGATGTCCTTTACTCCCGTTTGTCTCCATTTATTAGGGCCCATCCTACAATTACCTTGCGCACAACTCCTCCAGTGTAGCCAAACTCCAGCACTATGTTCACGGGATTAGAAAGTGTAGTATAAACCTTGTCTGGACCCAATATGTTTACACAAATGCGCTACTATACTTGGGTCGGCATCCGCATAACTTCAGAAAGCGGAGCGGGAGCTGACATCACTGCAAAACAGGCCGAGGGTTGCACATGGCCATTTCCACGTAGCTCATGAACCGAGCGCAGCCGACGTTCTAGTCCGTCCCATGCCTCAACTGCCCCGGCAGGATAAACCAATGAACGTGAAAGATCGGGGCGTCTCCCGGAAGGGCCAGCCACCTACTGGGAGAGTTTTGGATGTGCAAGCAGCGAGTGAAATCATAGAGCAATGAGGCGTAATGCGAGTAAAAAAGGGGGCGGAGAATGATTTAAGGGCGATAAGTTGCCATACGAGTGGGTTTAGAAAAACCGGTTGCACCTCCACGTTTACCTTATCATGCCAAGGGGCCGCGCGTCAGACCACATGAGACCAGACAAAGTGCCCCCTGTATTTGCTCGCCGGTGCCACTGCAACAGATCAACATCGAATGGCCAGAGATCAACTGAGGGAAGAGTGGATGTTGCAAACTGTCCGACTCCTCCGCAAGGAGATAACTGGCGTGAGAAGTCGACCAAGTCCCGCTTAAAATGAGAACTGTCTACGCCAAAACCAAAACGAATTGCGATGGCGGCCGAGAGGATTTTTCCCGGTTGTCCCTGGGTTAGGATGCTCCTTCATGGATGGAAGGTACTAAGCCCAGTGCGACGAGCGACGCGTTGAGTGGGAGTCGGAAGTGATGGCGAGAAGAGAAGTAAGGAATGAGACTTTTGTGGGGAAGGGTATGCCGCTGGCAGGTAAAACTGCACGGGGTGAAAAGTGGTCGACTCGGGAGGAAGATGGCATCAAATTGACTTGGGCTGCGGGTACTCGCCTCGGAGAGTGGAGCTTGAGATGAGATATCTCTTCTATCAATGTGTCTCCATGTACAGGACCAGGCGTGGACCATGTTGTGACGTTAGAGGACTGTGAGGAACCTGAGGGAGGGCTAGCATGGAAGAACTCGTGAATCCTCTACCCAATTTAATCCTGAAATCATGATCGATGGTAGCGCGAGTGCAGGCAGTACTGTTGTGGATGTAGCGATGGTGACAGCTAGGGTTAGCACAGATTCCATGTCGATGTTCATCCCCGTCTAATCTGCTCAACCGTGACAGGAACATGCGCACTTCGAGTTGGGAATGCGGTTTAAATGCGGAGGTTGGATTTATTCTGGCACCGAATCGGACGAGAGTGTATTGAGCTCCGCCTAAGACAGGAGACAACTTTTTTCTCTCGGGGATGACAACCAGTGGGATTCACGTGAGAAATTCCCGATTGATTACATAAGATTTCACCAACTAGGCGCATTAATGGGTCCGACGCTGGATCTGCACAAGCGCCTAGGCGGGTGACCAGCCTCTCTTTAGGGGGAACAAGCGCCCGGGGTACCACGGCATACCACGAGAGCGAAGGTACAATCAGACAATATCTGCAGTGCTTCCGGTGTGCGCGCGCATATTGTTGCCTTTTGAGTTTGCCTCTGGCATTTTCCCGTGGATGGGTCATATGGAGAAAACGTGTTCATGTTTGAATCCGACACATATAGGCGGCCAATGAGTTCGTATTTGGGCATGCAAGGTGTCCAAAGTTTCCCCGTGGAGATCTCGGTTACAACTTTGCTTTCCTTGAGTTCAGTAGCAGTCGCTGTTTGTAAAGAGCCTCCTCTCAACCCACATCCTGGTGCATCCGTACATCCAGGGGCGGTCATTGTCTATCCTAGTTAATCGCGCAATGGATCCCGCTTCGTCAGCCGTGATGGAAGCTTTATCCGAAATCCGAGATGTTCAGAATCTTAGTCACCAGTTTGGTACCAAGACCCTGGTTGCACGAGGCGGCTATTCCGAGGTCTACTGTGCAAAATGGGTCCAATCTGGGTTTCCGGATCCTGTGAATGTATGTTCTCTTGGACTGACATGTCGACCTTTCAATTCATTTCTTCTATGGAGGTCTGCTACAAAGTCCTCAAACCACCTATCAGTGACATGCCATCTATCATAGAGGAAGTAAGGAAAACCATGAAGGTGAGGAACTGTTTCGGCCGGATTGACAGCATCGAAGACCCACGTATTGCACAAGCACCTGAAGAGAGAGATGAAGGCATGGAAGGACTTAGACCATGGAAATATCGTGAAATTTATCGGTTTCGCGATTGAGGTTCGCGGTGCAGTACTTGAAGCGGCGTTGGTGTCCGAATGGTGTTCAAACGGCAACCTTGTTCAATACCTGCGTCGTAAACCATCCTGCGATCGGTTGCCCCTGGTGAGTGGTATTAGTGACAACACTGGCCTTTTTGAACTGAATGGATGCACACCATGGAATAGCTTCTTGATGTCGCTCGTGGTCTGACCTACCTTCATGACCACGACCCTGTTGTAATCCACGGCGATCTCAAACCTGTGGGTCAACGTGAATTGTCTAGGAAGCTGATTTAAAAGTGATTGACAACATATAGCTCAACATATTAATCAGCGAGGCGGAGCGCGCCAAGTTGTGTGACTTCGGGCTATCTTGGATCGCGGACGGATTGACGACAGGGTATACATCATCGGGACCTGCGTTTACCTCGCGCTATTGCGCCCCGGAAGTCTTTGATAGCGATATCAAGACGACATGCAGTGATGTTTACTCCTTCGCCTGCACTTGTACCATGGTGAGCCGTGATAGTTTGCGAGCATGACTTCCTTGCACTTTACTGAAACTTAAGTAGATCCTTTTTGATGAAAGCCCCTTCCCTTCGCTTAAAAAGGAGGCTGAACTATTTGATGCTTTAAAATCCGGTCGATCGCCTTGGGACTGGAAGCAATCTTCTCCAGTGGAGAAAATACTATCTAGTTGCTGTGCAGTCTCTCCTGATGCGCGACTGACGATGGGGGAAGTCTTTCGATCGCTCGTGGATACCTGTGCTCGGCTAGACTCATCTTCAAGCTCTGAGATACCTGACCTCAAAACAGAGCTGCTGCCGCCAGCGGGGTTCACCGACGGCTCGGTGGCTTCGTTCTCCGCACTGAGTGGAGATCGTGCGGATCCGAAACTCGCAACGTCATTCAAGAAGGCGGCCATTAAAATTAAAGCTGATGGGCAAGTGGCTCCTGTTTCCGTTTCTCCTGACTTTCAAAATGGGATCTCTGGTGAAAAACAGAAACAGGTTCAGCCGTTGCCGAAGATGACGCCCGAACTTTTCAACACCGAAGAAGTAGCGTCCGTCGCCATTTCCCCTGAAGCTCAAGATGGTGTCCTTGGGCTGGAGCCGTTGCCCGGCCTGTTGCTGGAAGATGTCTCGGCCAAATCCCTTAAGATGGTGCAGGCAGGAGAAACAACTAGACAGCCTGGTACCATTGGTGTCGATATCACTTTCGTTTCCCCTCCTACTCCGGAATCCCCAATGGATCCTGTTCCCGCCGAGGCTGAATCATCACTAACTCCAGCTTCCCGAGCGCTAGCTTCCCCTCCTTCGCGAGAGGCACACCCTTCTCAGCCCTCGGAACACGCAAGAAATATTCGCTCTGCTTCGGCTAGTAGTAGTGGTGCCGTGCGAGACGGCGCACATTCTAGTCGGAAACCTTCTCAGCCAAAGCAGGTGAATGGGCAGGACACTGAGGCTGAGGCTACTTTCGATACCGATGTAGAACGTCCCACCGACACCGGCATCGTTACACCTATCAAGCCACACAAGAAGCGCGCCTCCAGGATAATCACAGTCAGCGATTTCGAGATGATGCGCATGCTTGGAATAAGTTCCGCGGGGAAGGTATGACTTCATGACACCACTCTGGGAAATTTCCCCTTCTAAACAGGCGCTCCAGGTTCTTCTGGTCAAACATAAGGCATCTGGTTCCTTGTATGCCCTGAAAGCTATCAAAAAACGAGATGTACTTGCTCAACAAGAGCTTGGACATACACTAACCGAACAGGCTGTATTGAAACGAATGACTGATGAAAGCCAAAATGCATTCGTCGTCAAACTATGGTGGAGTTTTCACGACAAGGAAAATCTTTTCCTCGTCATGGTACATATGATCTACTCCCCTGACTGTTCCAAATGGTGCTAATTTCTCACTGACTCACCAGGATTTTCATCCAGGCGGAGATTTGGGCATTCAGCTTGCTCGCTGGGGTCGACTGGGCCGCGATCGAGCTCGCTTCTATGCCGCCGAGATTGTGAGTCCAGTGCGTACCCTTCCATTACTGTTTTTAATGTTATAATCACACCAGGTGGAAGGGGTGGAGGGTTTGCACGCCGCCGGTGTCGTGTATCGCAACTTGAAACCAAAAAATGTTCTCATCGGTTTCGATGGACACCTCGTCCTCACTGACTTCGGTCTGTCGAAGCAATTCCCTTCGCCATATCTCAACCTATCGGGATCCTCGACAGCCACGGATGGAGCCGTCTTGCCCAGATGGATGACGCCTGACCAAAGTCCAAACAGCTGGCGAAATGACGATTTGTCGAACAAGGATTTCACTGATACCTTCTGCGGCACTCCAGAGTATCTTGCTCCGGAGGTTATCCAGGGTCTGCAATACAGTTACGAGGTTGACTGGTGGGCATTTGGTACCATGCTCTACGAAATGCTCAGCGGTGTCGTGAGCCGCTGTTCTACTTTCGGTTAGCGATGGAACGGCATTGATTGATTCCTCGGTATCAGACTCCATTTTGGGCAGACAACCACTCAGACATGTATGTTCGTGTCCTTCGGGACGAATTGCAGTTCCCAAAAGTTAAGGCCTTTGATCAAGATACAAAGGCTCTTATCCGCGGCGTAAGCATACCTCAACACGCTACCGGTTCCATCTGATCGCGAAGTTGCCCATAGCTTCTTCAACGGAACCCGACATTACGTACTCGTGAGCCAAGAATAAAGACACATTCCTATTTCTCCATGACGTGTGTGGACTTCAGTCTCAATCATAGGTTGTAATTGTCTTAAATTTCTCTCTATGATAGTGATTGGTCGCACGTATATTACAAACGCTATATTCGTGCGTGCCCCACTTGGCTTCAGTTCCGTGTCTAATATATTTGTGTTTAGCACCATATATCCCCCCCATTGACTCATCCAATGCCAGTAACACCCAGAATTTCGATGATGCCTTCCTTGACATGAGCCCCACTCCGGATGATGGCTCAGAACCTGTGACCGATTCCGAGCGAGAGAGTACGGAAGATGAACCGCTGGATTCGGATACTTCATCCTCTGGGAAAACTCCTTCTGGATCTCTTTCCGGTCGAGTGAACACCGCTTCACAGCAGGACACAAACGAGGAGGCGGTGGACATTTTTGATGGATACTCTTTCAAAGGCCGACACTCTGTTGTCCTTGACGATGAGGACGAGTACGATGAAGCAGACAGCGACATCGAAGAAACCCCCGCCCTTCCAGAGGTTGATACTGTGTTAGAAATTACTCCCGACGACGCTTCCGATGTCTCTATCAAGGCTCGGCATCACCCACCCACTCCGGCTGTTGTTCGGAGAGAGCCTCCAGCTGAGTTGGAGGCGGCTCTTGGCACACCATTGCTGGCGTCGCCTGCCAAGAGTGTCCATGCGGAGCTTACGTCACCCGAGGAGCCTGTCTCCCAGGAGACCGTTGATAAGTCGAAGTCATCTATTCAAGATCTTGTATACGATCCTTCGCCTGTACCTTGCATCAGGTTTGAACCCCCTGCCACGGATATTTCGTCTAAACCATTCCCGGTCTCAAATTTCGATGGACTTGGCGACGAAGGAACCGATGTGCCACCACGAAGCAAGGATGATGATGATGATGATGGGACCTAGTGAAGTCCTGTCAATGAAGAGACGAATAGACCTTCTGGTCGTGGTCGTTGGTCATGGGTCGTCCGAGTCTTTTTACACGAGTAGTTGATACATACCGGCTGGCTGTTTTCAAACGGTCCACCCCCACGCAATCGAGAGTCAACCGGATTCCTCTTCCGAATCCCCCCGGATAACTCGTCGCGTTTTTTTAGCCTACTTCCAATGACCATTGTCGTTTTGCACTCTTTGCCTTGCAATCGATCTGCATCTAACATACGCCATGCTCATTTTCCCCTGTAGCTTTAGATTTATTTATGGGGCGAAGCGGAAAGCGTGGCACTGTGCCGCATTCAGGGAATTGCCTACGCCACTCACTGCCTTCATATGAAAATATGGGTTGTGTTGAAAAACGAGCGCGCTTGTTGATTTGCTCGTGCCCCTTCGACTCCATCAATCCTTCCCCCATTTACGTAGGGGTGTTTTTCAAGGTCCTGCTTTTTTTTTGCTCCCCATTGTCTCCATTTATTAGGACCCATGCTAGTCGTCCAGAATTACCTTACATACAACTCCAGCTCTATATTTACGGAACTAGAAAATGTAGTACAAATTTTGCCTGGGCCCGATATGCGTATGCACAAGTGCATGTTGTACTTGGGGTCGGTGTCAGAGCATCATTCGTCCTCAGGGTTGCGTCCGCGTAACCTTAGAGAGAGCCGGATATTGACCTAACTCCCAAAGCAGGTCGGAGTTACGAATCGGATCCATGACATGGCCATTTCCACGAATCTCAGCGCAGCTGATCCAGGCTCTGGTTTGCCGCATATCTCAACTGCCCCCGGCAGGATAGATCAAGGATCTTTGCTCTCTTCCTGAGACAGGCAGCCATCCACCTACTGTGAGAGAATTTTCGATGCGCCGAAGCGGAGGAATAGAGGAATGGGGCTAAAGCCACCCAAGTGAGTTCAGAAGAACCGGTCGCACTTCCCCGCTCACTCCATCACATCAAGGGGCCATCAAATCACTGGAGAACGTACAAAATGCCGCGTATGTATATTGCTTTTCGGTAGGCACTGCAACAGAAGGGTCGCAACACCAAACCAACCGAAAGAAATGTGGAGTGCTTTCCAGCTATCTGCGTTCTTAGACAACCGGCACGAGGTGATCAGTGAGTTATATAGGTTTACGACGCTGAAACCAAAATGAAGAAACACTGGCGATCGAGGGGATTTTACCCGTTTGTCTCATGCTTCGGATGCACCTTCACGGGTGCTACGTCGAATGAGGGGAACGGGGGGGAGGTGGAAGGTCTATGCACAGGATGCATAGTGCCAGTGGTCAACTAAAATAAAAGGTGGCGTCAGAACTTCACTTAAATGAAAGGTAGAACCTCAGAGAAGTCGATCTCTTCCCAGCGACGTGTCTGCATGTAGCTCCTTCCATGCTAGGAATTGATTCGTAACTAGTAAATTACCCCGATCTCCACTCCCCGACATGTCTCAATTTGAGGCGATCAAGTACTAGACTTGACGGCATGATCGATATTAGTAATTAGTTGTGGATGCAATGCTGGTACAGTAGAGATAACTATACTAGCATTGGTGTATTGATGCTCGATTCAAGGGCATGGATACGCCGGCCACCTGATTTAGCGGCACGCGCATATACTTGGAAGAACCATACCAATCATCAGGGGGGACACTCCTATTCAACCATCGGATGAAAAGATACGACGAATAGACAAATAGACAAATATATTCGGCCAACTCCGCTACAATACATACTGTTGAGTTGAGAAGTCAGCAAGTGACTGAGATTTCATCTTAGCGGCGCCGAATAGGGGTTGAACGGAAGCTCTGTTCCTCAAACAAAGATTTCAATACATAAGCGAAATTGGAATATTATTGATCCATATGTAATGAGCGACGGCAGTCCAAGTCCTTGCTATTTTAGGAAATTTCATCAGTCCATTGTATGTATCGAAACAATCGAAGGTTCGGCCACCCCCAGGCTGGGGTCATCTGCTTTACTCCATTTGAGACATAGCATAGCCCATGCGTTATCGTACACAGCATGAATGAACGAATTCGCGTGTGTATGCACTATAGCACGCCATACGCACGTTCAAGGTCCTGTGCTTGGCTTGGCTTCCACATGCACAGCAACCACATGCAGCGCCGCCTCTAGTAACAGAAATTGCACCTGTGATATGGTAACTTGAATAACATATCACTCTTCCTTCTGGGGTATATAAACTAAGACATGATGGCTCGTTTCCAACCTCCCAGCACAACCCACCAACTAGCAAGCACACCAAGTTCAGACCAAACCAATGCCTTTCTTCCACCACGACTCCGACCAAGCTCAGGCTCACAATGAGTACAACGACCTCAACCCTGTAGAACACAAAGCAAAGTTTTCGCACGAACTGATCGCTGGTGCAGCTGCCTATCAAGCTTCTAAAGCCTACAGCGACCATAAAGCCAAGAATGGAGAGTTTGACGATCATGCCAAGGCAAAGGCGTTCATGTGAGTTGGACGTTGAGGGTCTTCTTCTTTTTTCGAGTTGTCGTGTGTGCCACTAGTTAGTTGTCGCGTTGAGAAAGGGGGGACGGAAGGGGGCGGTCCCTAGGGAAGGATCGGGGTGCCGATCTTTCATCTATCGTTTGTTTCCGAAAGAGAAACAATCATTACTGACATTCGATCTGCCTTCTTTTCCTTCAATCAGTGCGGGCGCGATTGGTGCCTTCGTCGATCGTGAGGTTGAGACGAAAGGACTGGATTTCATCGATAAGCAAAAGGCCAAGCACCACGCTAAGTACGTTCTCGTTTTCTTGTTTTTTTTTTGTCACTTGGTTGTCACAACTGTGTGTGCTCCCTCTCGCCGCTGTCCACCCGTCCACCTGTTCCAACCCTAACCCTTCCCAACCCGTGATCAAAAAAAAATCAATATCTGTTATTCATCATTATCGTGGACTCGTTACTAACATATGTTCGATTATAGAGAGCAAGCCAATGCTGCGTACAGTGAGAAGTTCGAGTAGGAACTTTTGCGACGGTAGACGAATTCCTCCCCCCCATACGCCTGTTGTTGCGCCACAGTCGTCCGCGGGGGGCCGGTGCCCCAATATATACCGGGATCGAGCCATCGATCGTTTGCGTCTCGCAACACACACCCTGTGGATTTTTCATTGTAAATATATGGATTCGAAAAAGAAATTGTGAGGAATAAAAAAACAAACTGTGTATATAACCGGGACTTGGGACGATTCGACTCAGTGGGAGGTTCATGCTTTTGGCTTGAATCCCAACAGTGGGAGGGACGGCGATCCTGAAAGCCACGAGACACCCAACCTACATGCACTACGTACAACCAAGAGACAAACTACCAATACCCCAGAATGGTGCAAGGAGGCATAACACGGTGATAACGGAGTAGAAGTCCCCCGGCCGGCCGAGCGCGCAACCATCTTCCTTGCCCCGAGTCTACACTAGTAGTACTTAGTAGAACTACTGCCAAGTCTAACCCTAGCTCCATAGCACGCAGACGATCAGATGGTTCGGTTCATATCTATCAGCATATTTCGGATTTGTCCCAAACATGATGGAGAAAAGCCCATCATCGGTTGAGTAAACAATATATATGTATACTACTTTTAGTTTTTCCGCGCGAGCCTTTACGTACTATGCAAGGTACTATGTATGCGATTTTTGGAACTAGAAGGGGCAGGAGGAGTGTGCGGGACGAAGAACGATTGCGAGGAAAATCAAATCCAATAACGGCAAGGAGGCTGCCGTTCCGTGAGAACCCATGTGTCATAACTTTCTTTTTTTAACACGAAATTGAGATTGCGCAAGTTGGCATGAAAATGAAGTTATTGCGGCCCAAGACGAAAGAAACTTGATTGTAGGGATGAGATTGAGGCTGAGGGTGTTTTACTGCAGACAATCAAGTCGATGCTATTCTTAGCCTGGAAACCACCTTTACATTTTAGGTATGTGTGATGACGTCGCACCCTCATAGAGACAGGTCATCTGGCTTTCTCGTTTGAGGACGTGAGTACATAACACAGCATCTTGCTATCACACTCCCATGCATGTAGTACTGGTTGTGGACTATATATATAGCGTAATGACGTTTATTGATAACGGAATTGCGCAGTGAGTGATAACTTGGATAACATATTACCCCCCCTTTGGGTATATAAACCTAGACATCCCATCGATGATCGCCCACCCCCCGCTCCTTCACTAAACCTTACCAACACAACCTAACCAAACACCAAAAGTTTTAAACAATCATGGGTTTCTTCAGCCACGATTCCGAACAACGTGAATACTACGATCAATATGGAAACCTCCAGGAACATCACCAAGCCAGCGTGTCCCACGAACTGATCGCTGGAGCGGCTGCGTTTGAAGCTGCTAAAGCTTATGAGAAGCATAAAGAGGCGAACGGAGAGTTTGATAGTCATGCCAAGGCCAAGGAGTTCATGTGAGCGCTGATTATTTTTCTTTTGAAAATCTGTTCCTTTTCCCTCTTCACAACGTCGTTTTGTCGTTGAGAGGGCTTCGGGGGGGAACGGATCGGGCGCCGATCTTTAGCTATCGTTTGTCCCCCCAAAGAAACAATCATACTAACAACTCGATCCCCTCCCCCCCCTCTTCAATCTAGTGCGGCCGCTGCTGGTGCCTTCGTCGATCGTGAGGTTGAGACGAGAGGACTTGATTTCATCGATAGGGAAAAGGCCAAGCGTCACGCCAAGTACGTTCTCCGTTCCTTCCCTTCGCTTGTTGCCCAACTTGTTACTCTTCTCGCCGCTATCCACCCGCCCATCCTTGTGTCACATCCTCAGGCTGTCTGTCCTTCACGTTTCATAACCAAAAAAAAAAAAAATCATTGTTGTTGTTTATTACTTCGGAGGTAATTAATCGGCGGACTTGTACTGACGCACGTTCAAATATAGAGAGCAAGCTCACGAGGCGTACGATAGTAACTACTAGTGGTAGTTATCTAGCAAAAGTAGGAGGATGTCCATACGCGCATTGCTCCGCTAGTCCAAAGTCGCCGCCACGGTGCCCAATGCTGAGTACCATCATCATCGTTGCATCCGACACTCTGTACTTTGTTGTAAATATAAAGGATTCGAGAAAGAAATGTAAGCATCGCGTATTTGTTCTTGGTATGGCTTCGATGCGATTCGGGCTGGGGGGGGATTCTCTTTTTCTGGGATTCAAATTGCGCGCGAGGAGGTGATCAAGTCACTTTCGAGCTAGCCTGTCTCAACCATGCATGAATATGACAGACGAGATGACAAATTAAACCTCCTCAATAACCCCAGAGTGGGATAGCCTGCGCAGCAGGCGTGACATGACATTGACGATGGTGCACATATGCGGCGCTGAGACGAACGATCATCACCCGCTCGGTCACGGTGGACATGTGTGAGCCACTTTTTGCCTCGGACCTACACGGTCTGCACCGCTAGATCCAATATAGCTTCATAAACACGAAGTCCCATAGCTCAAACACTCCGACTATATGCACTCTGACGTCATACTATAACAGTTAACTTACTCCCCGAACAAAAGTCCATTCCTCCCCACCTCGCAACTAGGGACACTCGAAAAATAAGCGATCGGACTAGTGACTTGACGGATTGGTCCAGGCGCAAAATGCCCACGCCAGGGAATCAAGCGGCCGACCCAACTTGTCACGGTTCAGGTGAATATTATAGTAAGATGGGAGCGACTGTACATGTACAGTAACCGAAGTCCTGAGAAAAATATCCGAGATGCGTTGAGGCGTTTAGGTTTTTAGCGTAATTGCGCCAGTTGTGAGAGCCAATTTCACATACTAGAATGAATAATAAAAACAACTCGGATCCTAGTATTACTAGACTGCCGATATCTCCCCCCCGAGAATATGAACACGCAGAGTGTACGCCTGCACGTATCCACCACGCAACCGGCGTGCTATTCAGAGTAAGAGTTGAGAACGCGTGACGGCGAGTGTGAAGAAGGGGGACTTGCGTGTGCGTGAGTTAGGTCGTAGGAGACGAGAGAGTGCTGAGAAGTGAGGAAGGGCCAAGAGTGGAAGTATAGGGCATTGTTCGTCTACGTTGAATATGCTGAAGTGGCGAAGGACGCAGGGAAGGGAAGAAAATCATTAGGTAAAACACGCAATGCCAAGGGGGACCATACTAAACGTCGCCTCCTATCATTTCGTCGTCTTAGCCCTTGCCGTCAACACATCGGTCGAATCATGCACATGATTCCTTGCCCGCATCCGCCGAGTCATCCATAAAGTAAAAATTCCCTGCTCCTTTTCTCATTCCTGGCTGCTACCAAACCCGCCACCACCACCTACTTTGGCCGTAGACGAAAGACCTAACGAATTGAAATGCAGCGTTGACGACGGCATGATGAAGGAGAACCAGAGGGCAAAGGGGGCAGTGGAGGGACGATTCGTTCGTCGATGATTGCTTCGATGGAAGGATCGGACCAGAGGAAAGCGATAGACACCCTAGCTCTCCTAAGGATAGGAAGAGGAGCGATTGGGAAGAAACAGGAACAGGTGGGTCTTTGAAGGAGGGGATTGATATATTGTAGCTGGTGGTGATACGTAGGTGGTTTGAAGGGGCTGTGGGGAATGCGCCGAGTTTGCCGAGTCGAATCCGACACACTCACATTGACGTCACCACAACGAACCCACTTCGGACTTGATGCTCCATTCGAACGCAATGGCGACGATTCGACAGACACATGTACTTCTTGGCGGGATAATAGTATATATCAGGTTTCTTGCGTTTTTCCCCAAGTCACCACCACTCATCATCCATCCAAACCTCAACATCATCGCTTATGGCGGTATGCAGAAACACGCATGGACCACTACATCACCATGAACGATGGGAGGGGAAATGTGTTTGGGGGGGGGGGAATGAATACCCTTGATATTAAAATTGTAAGATGCGACTGTGATCTGTTATGGGTGCAGCGTGGCCAGTGAACTTGTCGGTCGAAAATTGAGGTCAGATTGGTCGGTGTTCTCGGGCTGAAGACCCAATTCAGCCTTGCCTGTCGTGTGCAGTAGGAACATAGGAAATACAATGATGGGGAGAACACGCTCAAATGTGAACCATTTGTGCCTCGGAATGACGGCCGAGATTGGAAAGAGCATCACGTAGATTCTCGAGTGAATCGACCAACTTTGTGGTGTATGCTCCTGGGTTAACGCCGACTAGCTGGCGCCGGATTTTGACACATTCTTCAATGAATGGGAGCGCCTCCGAGTGCCGCCCGAGATCCGAAAGAGTTAAATATAGATTGTTTAGTGACATGGCCAAATCCGGTGTGTATGATCCTGGGTGAACAGCAACTAACTGACGGCAGAGTTTGACACTTTCTTCGATGAATGGAAGCGCCTCCGAGTGCCGTTCGAGATGGGAAAGAGCATTATGTAGATTGTTGAGTGACATGGCCAAATTCGGGGTGTATGATCCTGGGTGAACAGCAACTAACTGGCGGCAGAGTTTGACGCTTTCTTCGATGAATGGAAGCGCCTCCAAGTGCCGTCCGAGATGGGAAAGAGCATTACGTAGATTGTTGAGTGACATGGCCAAATCCGGTGTGTATGATTCTGGGTGAATGGCAACCAACTGGTGGTAGAGGTTGATGCTTTCTTCAATGAATGGAAGCGCCTCCGAGTGCTGTCCGAGATCCGAAAGAGCATTATATAAACTGTTGAGTGACATGGCCAAATCTGGTGTGTGTGATCCTGGATGAACACACAGAGGGAATTAGAGCAGCGTAAAAAACTACTTTAAAGATGGTAAAATACCTTTATCTTTACCACGAGTTGAGTAGTATTTTACCATCAAGCGTGAAGCGTTTTACCAAGGTTCCATTACCACAATAGCGTGAGTAAAAGATGCATCTTTTTGTTGTTTTTTAACTGTTTAATGATGGTAAACTGACCGTTTACCATTGTCCTGTTTGGTATTTTACTTCATGGGGTAGGTAATTTATTAAAGTAATATGAGATTGCTAGCAAAGCGGGCAACTCAGTCTCAAGCAAGTAATGCGAAAGAGAACTCAGAATATATTACCTAGCAAAGCGGGCAACTAGAGGTAATATACAGTATATAAGTGTAGATTGAAATGAAGGAATGATGTTACTAACCTCAGTCTCAAGCAAGTAATGCGAAAGAGAACTGAGGGAAAAAGTTATTCAATGAGCGGTAATTCCCATGTAGTTTAGGAGCGGGATAGTCCGAAATGAATACAAAAGAATGAATAAATAGATGTGGCTGGCCGGGCGAGTTCCTCGCTCGGCCGTGGGAATGTGGCTGTACGAAAACTCGCACGGCCGCGCTAGCGCACTGTTTTCCAACACACCCACTCAGCGCGCACCCACTGAAACCAAACCAAGGGCATCTCTGAACTTCAGAAATTTCTCTGCACCCAAGGCTTTGGTAAAAATGTCAGCTACCTGATCCGTTGTAGGAATGTACTCTATATCTAGAAGTTCATCCTCGATTTTCTCCCTAATCCAATGATGTCGAACCTCGATGTGCTTTGTCCGAGCATGAAAAATCGGGTTTTCGGCAATATGAATCGCTGATTGGTTGTCGACAAGAAGATAGAGGGGAAGTTGGATTGGGATGCCGACGTCTCCATAAAGGTTTTGAAGAAAAATCGCTTCTTTCCCAGCATGCGTCATGGCCATATACTCGGCCTCGGTACTTGAGAGCGCAATTGTCGGTTGTTTCTTTGAAGCCCAAGAAATAGTTGCGCCACAGAATATATAACAATATCCTGACACAGATCGGCGGGTATTTGGGTCTCCAGCCCAGTCGGCGTCAGAAAATCCGACCAGTTTGTCGAATTTCTCCCCATGGTATACTAGCGCAAGGTCTCTGGTTCCATTAAGATATCGGAACATGCGCTTAAGTGCAATAAGATGCTCTTCACCCGGGGCAATAGCGTGCTGAGCCAAGTAACCGACAGCAAAGCAGATATCTGGTTGAGTGCTAATCGCAGCATACATAAGCGAGCCAAGCATAGACTGATAGAGTCGAGGATTAACTTCTGGAGATTCGAGTTTGGGAAGTTTGAGATCAGCGGTCATCGGTGTTATGGCCGGCTTGGAGTTTTCCATGCCAAACCGCTCTAGGATCCTCGTCACATACTGCTTCTGACTGATAGTGATCGTCCTTTTATCTCTATCCCGTATGATTTCCATTTGAAGGAACCAGTGGGCTTCTCCCATGTCTCTCATTTCGTACCTTCCGGCAATCTCCTTCTTTCTCTTCTCCACTGTCTCTCGCAACGCAAAGACCAGAAGATCGTCAACGTACACAAGGATGAAGTGGTCCTTGTCATGGGTGTATAGGCACGGGTCATATCCCGACTGTTTGTAGCCTAGAGAGATGATGTGTGCACGGAGGGTGCGGTACCACTCGAGAGCGGCTTGCTTCAGCCCATAAAGGGCCTTCTTCAGCAGCCAAACTTTTCTCGGAGCTGCAGGTATACCGATAGGAGGTCTCATATATATCTCCTCCCTGAGGTCGCTGTTGAGATAGGCCGCCACCGCATCCAGTTGGTGGATTTCGAGATCGCGCGCGGCAGCGTAGGCTAGACAAGAGAACAGGGTGTCGCGGCCAAGTGTGGGCGAATAGGTATGAAAGTAATCCTCCCCAAACACTTCTGTGAAGCCCTTAGCAACCACCCTTGCCTTCTTCTTAGTTATCTCTCCATCAGCTCCGGTTTTCTCAGCAAAGACTAAGCGCCCGTCGTGAATCCTCGCATCATTAGGTTCATCAACCTCAATGAAGACTCCCTTCCGCCGGAGATTCTCATATTCCTCCACAATCGCCTCTGTCCAATCCATCGCATCGCGTCGATTCATTGCTTCATGGTAGTCATGGGGCGCTTCCATTGCAATAAACGCTGATTCCGCATTTTCTCCAACTTGTGGACTCGCGCTGTCATTATTGCCGCTTTCTCCACTTCCACCCACTGCAGCAGCTGTCGATTTGGTCGTATCAACAGCCCTATCGTCCTTTTTCCTTGAGTAGGAGCCTAGCTGCAGTTTCGGATCTTGGTCTGGGCGGATGGGTGGCATTCCTTTATTTGCGCGCGCGGATCTGCGAGGATTTGATGAATCTGGAGTGTTTGATGTCGATTTGGGCGTCGATTTCGAAGCATCTGGTGGGCTAGGATTGGGAGTGTCAATGGGAGTGGAATCTTGATGATTCTGTGTGGCGATTTCGACCGGTATGCCGTCGTTTTTGGTATTTTTATCGCCCTTTGATCCACCCTCTGAATCGTCACCATTCTGACCATCTCCTGCGTTTGTACTAGTCCTTCCCTCATCTCCATCATCACTATCATCTTCTACCACCACCCTTTCCCTCTCCTTCTCATCCTCCTCCTCAAAAGTAACATCGCGCGACTCAAATAGTCGCCGCTTCACCCGGTCATAGAGCAGATAGGCCTTCTTGTCCTCTGCAAAACCGACATGGACGCACTCGATTACGCGTTCACCATATTTTGTCTGGTATTTTTCGGGGATATGGGCGAATGCGCGGCAGCCAAATAGACGGAGGGATAGGAGTGTGGGTTTAGCGCCATAGTAAGCTTCGAAGGGAGTGATTTCCCCTGCTAGGGCGCGTGTTAAAGTACGGTTTTTGATCCAGCAGGCATGGCGAACAGCCAATGACCAAAAGCTTGCTGGAAGGTTTTTGGCTTTTAAAACTTCATTCGCGTCGGCAATCATAGAACGAGCAAGGTTGTTCAATGTTCGATTTGCCCGTTCTGCTACCCCATTTTCTTGAGGTGTGTACGCGTTTGTGACCTCACGTTTGATCCCTTCTGATGCTAAGTAATTCTTGAAGGATTGAGAAGTAAATTCTCCACCACCATCCGATCGGAAGATTTTCAGAGGCCTTCCGGTCTCCTTTTCTGCACGGGCTTTCCAAGTCTTGAAGGTGTCCAGCGCATGGTCTTTAGAGACACAGAACCCAACGTGAGTGAAGCGGCTATAATCGTCTGTAAACGTAATAAAGTAACGGTATCCTTCCTTTGTCGGAGTTTCAATGGGACCGCAAAGATCACTGAAAACTCGACCTAGGACTTCCGTTGCCCGCTCTTTCGTTGCATGAGGAATGGCATCCCGAGTCATTTTCCCTTTTAGGCAAGCGGTGCAAGTGGTCAGTTTATCACCCACTATTTCCATGCCGTTTACGGACTGGGATTTAGCCATTTTTAGAATTGTGTCCTCGCTGACATGACCTAGTCTTCGGTGCCATAGTCTGAGAGAACCCTTTAGGACTGCTGATGAACGCGTTAGGAGGGCATGTCCATCCAGGTCAGTTTTCTCTACTGTGGCGATACGTGCGTGTTCGGGTTTGGTGAACTTGATTTGGATTCGGCATAGATTTCGGATTCGGGGTGCTTTGGCAAAGGTTTTGCCATTTCTGGCATGAGTTAAGGTTGCTCCTTCTACCGTGAAGTTTGTGTTTACTCCTGACTCGCTTAACTTTGTTGTTGATAGGAGTGGGTCGCTCAATTGCGGCATATATAACACATTTCGGAGCAAAATTGAATGTTCTTGTCCATCGGCTTCGACTTTCCCAGTGATGGTTCCCATGCCATTAGCTTCTATTGCTCGGTTGTCAGCGACCCAGATTCTGGTTGGAGGATTGAGTTTACGGAAAGAGGAGTAATGGGCCATATCGTTGGTCATATGAGAAGATGCTCCGGAGTCAACGATAAAATGGGCGGATTTAGGCGAGCTGTCAAGTTTCTGTGTGAGGAATAAATCCTCATCAGCTCGAAGGGTGTATAGAGAATGGTTGGGTCCGGAAGGTCCATCTTCCGCTGCGACTCTCGCCGCTTGGTCCTTCTTCTCTCCCTTCCCTTTCTTTCTCCCCTTCTGCCCGTACCATGGTTTTACTTTCCCTTCGGCTCCTCCACCTTCTGCCCAACACTTCTCAGCTGTGTGTCCTGGCTTCTTGCAATTTGAGCATTGAGGGCTTTCCGCGGACTTGGAATTCTTTGGCGGTTTCCAAGATTTCTTCTTTTGGTTAAGGAGGACTTTCTCCTCCTGGTGTTCTTGGTTTTCATGGGCTCTGACGATGTCAATGGTCCCTTGTAGTGATGGCAAAGTGTCGCGAGCACATAGGATGGTGCGGAGGGTTTTGTATTCTGGAGGGAGTGCGAGAATTATTGCCATAGTCTGAGCATCGTCTTTAAGTCCATAGCCAATGGAAGCGAGTCTATCCATGAGCTCGATTAGCTCATGGATTTGGGGTAAGAGATCTTTGTCCGTTGACATCTTTGTCTGCCAGACACTTCCCATCAGGGATATAGCAGATTGGACCCCAGTGCCGTCAAAATAGCTTTTCAGCCGTCCCCACACATCAGCGGCTTCAGTTTTCCCTTTTATCAGGGACCCGACTTGATCATCAACGGACATAACTATCAGGATCAGGGCACTTTCGTTGTCCTCGTCCCATTGTTCAAGCGGAGTTAAGGAGGATGATGGAGGGGGTTTCTTGTTCGGGTCATTCGGATCAGATGATGATGATGCGGTCTTGGTTGCCGCATCCTTAGGGTTTGGCCGCAGTCTGTCGCCTTGTACAAGGGAATAGAGCTTTCGCTTCTTTAGGATAAGTTCCATGCGGTACTTCCAGAATCCCCAATTAGATCCATCCTTCTTTAGAGACTCCGAATCAAAGTGTTTCTTTGTAATGCGTTCAATAGATGCTTTATCCATCTCGAGATACAAAGGAGTTCTGCTTTTGCTTGAGAATTTTAGAGCTCTGGGCTCATAACCTAAAGTAATATGAGATTGCTAGCAAAGCGGGCAACT